CGATACTAGCGGGATGGAGATACATATTTAGAATGTATAGACTGGTTAAGAGAGTTTTGTATTCTAAACTAGGAAAGGAGGTAAGTATCTAAGGAACGTAGGTTGACTAGTGGAGGTGGTGTTAGTGTCTTGATAAACTTATGTTTGTGATGTTTGTCTACAATAGAGAACTGACTGCATTCATAGATATAGACAATGGAATGAATACCTTGATTATTAGAGTAATATATGTAGACAATCTTGGGGATCGTACGATGTTATCTAGGCACGAGTACTAAAATCCACGATAGGCATGCTTTGTATGGCACAAATGGCACACGCATCCATTGGATGGAAGCGGACATGACTTTAAGTTTCACTTAGTAATGTCCATTTTCGTCCATGTTTGCATGAAAAAAAATCAAGACGTTTTCATATAAGTTCTCCAAAGGATTGCTCACATGAAAAACATTAAGACTTGATTCGTAAATTCATATATCAAAAACAGACTCGTGTAAGATCCTATATGTAATTATGAGAAAGGTGAACATGCTTTTCGATATAAGAAACCGGCGGTTATTTTTCAACTTGGTATATTAGGAGTATGTCACCACATTAATGGAAGTAAGGGCTGCATCTAGTTTAATTGAATGTGTATCAAATCCATTGCTTTGCAATTTAGAAATAATTATGCCTATACTTATATCGGGGAATAAAGATGTTTTATCTGCAAAAACGTTAACCATATCTAACCTATCCCAAATGAGTATTGTCGAAGTGCCTTTTCAGAACATGGAATTTCAGTTAACTTTGCAGTAGATTTATGATGATGACCGACACAAAGACATGATGTGAGCACAAAAATGAGGAAGTTTATTAGGTACAAAACAAAAGTAAATAGCATCTCTCCGTACAAATTTAAAGTTAAAAACTGTAGAGCCAAACAATGAATTTCCCACTTTCATACAGCCGTTTCGGCCATCCAGGACTGGTTATTGAGCTAAGGGTCTAAATTTAGAAGTCTTGGAGGCAGCTGAGAAAAATCCAAAGTAATTGAAATAAATGTCTAAATTTAGGTAAGAAGGTGCACTTACCGCTCGATTAAATAAATCTAGCAAATCTTTATTTGTCTGATGAGTACATGTGTATATTCCGGACGGTGTCATTTTTCGAATGAATTAAAACCACCGACAAGGTTGTACAAAGGACATACTACTGCCTAAATCCCAAAATGCAAATTAAGAATTTACTACCTTAAAGCCGAACAAATGAATCAAACTGCATCGGACAACCTTTTTCCCTTCTAGGATCAGTGATGCCAATAGCCTACATTTTGAAGCGTAAGAGGCAACAGCGGATATAACAAATTGAGCGAAAGAAAGTCAAAATATTACAGATAGTCTGGCTAAAGGAGAGCAAAGGAGACAATTTTGAAATATGGCCTGCTGAGGCAATTGATTTTAGCTCAATGAACGTGTTGACCTCCCTTCATATTAGGCTTCAGAAAGTAATAAAAGTAACGGCCGTCCTGTTCTTGAATTAATGGGACGGTGTTGATGTTTGACGCCAGGCTGTATTAAATTGCCATCTAAGATCAATACTGTGGACTTCGAAACCAGCTCTTCATAGATGATATGAAATACCAAAAGCATACACCAAATGGGATATTATCTTCATCACACAACATCATTATACATGAACACGAGCTAGATTCTTACTGTACATATATAAAGCAATAGTTGTTAATTGTTGTTAATTATCATGATCATTGTAGTAAGAACTGATTTATGTGTTTTCTAACGGATAGATAAAATATATACTGAAAACGATCAATTTTTACTGATGTATCGTACATGTAACATCCGAGAAAAACCCCTTAAGTTTGATTACCAGCCCGCAAGTTTTAGTCAAGAGTTACTATGCTTAATACTTACATTGGGTTATCTCCCCTAGTTTAAAAATCAGGATCAAACATATCTTAAAGACAAAACTGATAAATTCTCAGTTTAATTTATGGCTTTGATATTCTAGAAACGGGGACCAATCTGGCCTGCACTACTATGTTATTTTGAGCCTTCGGATATTATCAAGATAATTTAAGTATATCGTCGTTATCTTACTCAGGTTTCCAAATTGTACATACGTGGTACCAATTTAGAAAGGATATCAATTTAGGAAAAAGATTGAGAACAAGAAATAAAGACCACGAATATGAATTGTATTCATCAAGGTAATTGACAAATGATATTATTTTCTCTACGCTATGAGACAAATGCGGGGAGCTCAAAATATCCTATTGTTAAAGTCCATTTCTGGATGGTAATATTCCTGTTTCCCAATTCTATGGTGTTCATATTCCACAGCTGATTCGACAATTGGTATCGCGATTCCCTGTGATGGATGTTGACAGTCGGAAGCACAAGGTGTACAGAGATGCAGGCTGATGAAGACTGTAGGGTCGTTATCTCACTAGGAAAGATGGTATTTCGCGGGCAGTAAGAAGTTTTATGTGTTTGATTTCTGTCATCATTGTTATTGGTGTTGTTGTTTTCAATCAGGTTCACAATTTGAAAGAACGTCCTATTACATAGATTAATATTTACCTGGCGTGGATAATGATGAAAAAGAAATTATAGTTTTCAATGTTGTCTGTAAAACAACATTGTAATTCCTCATTGTAATCAGATACTGGGTGTTGTTAGAAAACGTTTTTACTTTTGTATCACACATATAACATCCGAGACAAAACCCCTTGACCACCAGCCGCAAGTGAAACACACGTAAATCTCTTGTAAAATTCAGGTTCGAAAAGACAGCTTATATGAAATGGTACATGTAGATAATTGACTTCCCATTGTTTCCTTAAACAGTATCTTCCTATTTTGTTTTTTTTAAATGTCGTTCAGAGAAAACCCCGGCCCTTTTCTGATCCGTCTTGGTCTCGACTTATACAGAAGACATAGTCACCAACAAGTTGAATTATAACTAAGGCCAAGTTGTAAAGTTCACTAGTGCTGCCTATATTTAACAACAGGAAATTTGTAACTCGTTAACTATAAAATGACTGCAGAGACATCCCTCCTTGCAAAGTAGCTTATCCATCAATCTATCACAAATCGCATACGCGCCTGATGCACTGTATGGCAATGCCAAGAATACGCTTTATTACTAAAAAAACAACCAAAGCATATACATGTATTTATCTTTAATATATCTTTCATCTACCTGATACAATCAGCCTAAATCGGAAATCGATTGTACAAAAGACACACAAGAGAATAAACTCCCACTTATAAGTGTTAAACTGGCTTTAAAATACATATCTTATTTTATTCAAATTACACACGGTGGTGTATTGCAACCATCAGATAAAGGAGTGGCGAAGCGTAGTAACATATTTTCATTAAACGGGTATGAGAATTTCTTTACAAAAATGGTTTTAAAACATGGCATCTTCCGAACTGTATAATATATGTATTATTATGATTATAGAATATTGTGATTCAAGTTCATATGACAGAATGAAATAATTATTACTATCTGCTTTAATTGCTTTTTTTAATTATTTGTTTCATCATGGGTAAAATAATGCTTCAGTTCATCGGTGGAAAAGACTGCTACTCTACAGATGCAATGATATCATACTTAAACTTTCAATGCTTTAGCAAGTATGTATTTTAATGAATGTTTAAGGAATGACATATCGTTATTAGGTTATAACAGTTCTGGATATAATAGGTAAAGGTGATGATATCATGTAATTATTTTAGACAATTAAATATTCTGATTATATGATAACGTTTACATATGACATCAGATAGTAATGTAAAATAAGTGAAGAAATTTAATGTTCGTGAGCAACATCATAGATGTGTACACCAATAAGTCATACACGCCGTCTTGAAGCAATTCAATTAATAACAATCAATGTAGAAATTATCATATCCACGGTACTGGAATGCATTTAAGTGTTCCTTAAAAGAAATTTGTCACAGTACGCAGCCTGGTTACATATCATAATCGGTTATATAGATGTACTTTGAATTGATGCCGTTAGTAAAGAGTTTGAATACTGTACAAGGCACAAGTTAGTTGTGTTTCTATGCTAATTAAACAATCAGATAAGATACAAATCATATAATCTGACATCACAAGGAGATTATAATTTTATCACAAAATTATCGTAAAATGTTTATGCTACCATCTTTATTATCTAGAGGTATAATGATCAACACTTTGTGAAGATCAAACTTATAAGCATGTATTTAATAAAGTCCTATTTCACATACATGTGACTTATTGAAACTATCCTTATGAAGCAGCACATGGAATTGGATATTAATAGTACTAAAGAAATTGACTACTTAAAACCTGTCTGGAATTAACTTGAAGTAGGGAATGTCAGATCCGGCACATTTTAAACTAAAAGAGCGGTGAAACATATTAATGCGGAATCCTTAAAGTGCAGAACTAATTTGGGATCACAGATCCTCATGGTGTATATATACATATCAAATAGAGTATTGGTATGTATACTAATTGATTACAAACCATAATGTTATATTATACATTTTGAACAAATATTACAATTCATAAGCTTAAATTTCCGGCCAGCCGGTTGCTTTTGAAATTATGTCGATAAAAAATTGAGTTGATACTCTCTATCGTTAATGTTCGTTTGCTACGGCTTTTTTAATGTCTTGATATTTAAAGTTATCGTCAATTTATCGTAGAGAGAGAATAAAAAAACATATTAAAAAAGTAAAATAAATATAGGATTTACCTAAATGTCGGAAAAGTTTCAAAATTAAGAAAAAAAATCCTTATTATGTATTTGAAAGATTCAAATGTTTTCTATTGACATGTAGCTAAATTTTCATAATGCATTTCTCCATTTCGTGTTTCATACCTCAGATAGAAATAATTGACTGAATTGGCGGGCATAGAGAAAAAAAAACTTTTTAACATTCTTTTCAGCAGGAAGACTTCTACAAGGAACATCTAAATAAACGTAGCCTTGTTTAAGAGTATGCTCTAATATTTCTTCTTTTTGCGATGAATTTGAAGTCAACCGGACCATGCGAAATACCATCACAGCCCACGATCTTTGGTAAGGATTCGGGATCCTCCGGTATAAACTCGAAATTCTGTACCATGCTGGTAATAAAGAGGAAAAGTTCGATCTTTGCCAAATCCTTTCCAAGACAAATACGGCGTCCTGAAACAGAGAAAAAAAATATACAATCTGTATGACTTTTTGATAATATTGAACATTCCATTAAGATTAACGGATACAATTCACTAAGTCGTGACACACTCCGAAAATTTTATGTCCCTTTGTATCGACTATAAAAAGTGACGGTTTCGGGGATTTTCTATCTTTTCAAACCCTATGTTCTTCTTTACTCTTTCCTCTGAATCCCCTAGTTTTAAGCACTTGTTCATAATGTGCACATGCTTTTGAGTTTTGTTTTAATCAATAACTGAAATTTATGGAAACTATTGAAATGTTTGATTTGTGCACCTCCCAATCTAGTTCTGTATATTTCTTTGGACCAATTAAGATTTCCATCAGTTTTCACGATTTAGGCCTTAAACATAAGAGTCCAGAAAGAACAAAACAACAAAATGAGCTAGTTTATCCTTCGTCATTTGACAATTATCATCGGACTTCGAATGGCCTTAGTTATTGCAAGAACAAAAAGTAAAGCAAACAAAGAAAAGGTACGGTCACGACAACGCCCGTATTAATGTTACACAGGTGTAACTATTTAACGTTACCTTCGGAGTAACTATTAAAATTACCTATTGAAAAAGGTATCAGGCTGTTTTGGACGACGTATGACCCGTTTCTGTCTAAAAATCGCTCAGGTCTAAACTCTTCTGGGTCATCGAAATACTTGGGATCCTTTAAGGCGGACGTCAGGTTCATAAGCAGAGTTGCGCCCTTGGGAATAAGGTAACCATTTACGTAAAAGTCTGTGCTGGCCGCATGTGGTCCGGAAAGGGGAGCAACATTGCCACATCGTTGAACCTCCGAAATGAAAGCGCGGCAGTAGTCGAGATGTGAATGGTCTGCCATTGTCGGTGGCCTGTCGGTTCCCACATGCGACATAATCTCATTTGCCATTTTCTCCTGCACGTCTTTGTGGTGGAGCATGAATAAGACAGCCCATCTTATGGTTGCACCGGAAGTCTCAACACCGGCAACAAAGAATTCAAACAGCACGTGCAGCAGTTGGTGCTCTGGAAAACAGTAACAAGTAACAACATATAAACTACCGCTATCGTTTTAACATTATTTCATGACCCGACGATACCGTCACCCATTAACGACGTCGCTAAGTATATAAAACATCGAGAGATTTAATAGTGCCCTTTTAATATCATCGGTAGATGTAATAGTATTCATTTAGTAACATCTATAGGTAAATAGAAAGCCTTTAATAACATCTTAATATGTAATATCAACCCTTCAAAAACACCGATAAATTAAATAACATTTCATAAGTTTAATAAGTTTACAAAAAATCACCTAACAATATGATATAGCTGCCCGATAGAACTCTCTACTGTTCTAACAATTGACAAAGAGCGCGAACTTTGTTTAATGAAAGTTAATTCTGTGATTCTCAAATGTTTATAAACGAATTGTTATTTAGTTTCTGTTCGTGTATAGAGGTGTACAGTTGGGTACTGACTACCAGCCCGCAAGTGAAACGTAATGTATTTTACTATAAATAGGTTCAAGTATCACTCTAAAACGAAGAATATATAAGAACGAGCTCTTTGTGAAAGGAATCATGAGAGATCCAAAAGAAGACAATATTATGGAATGGAGAAAATAATATATAAGATAGGCATTGCTATACATTAAATGAAACATAGAAGAGCTAAAGATTGATATAGAGGACGAGGGAGAATGGGAGACATAAAGGAACATTTACCTGTATAAGTAGTGTCTTCTTCCTGTGCCTTAGCCTCGAACAGGAAGGCGTCTATAAAGTCTTTGATATCATCTTCTTTTTCCGGAACATCACCACTTCGTTCGTCAATAAATGCTTTGAGCCATTTGAAAATGTTTTCTTTATCTTTCAACATTGATTCTGCATGAAACATGTCGCCGGGAAGGTACTTTAGTGAAGGAAAGAAGCATAGAGCTTCTGAAAAACCAGAGTATAACATTATATCATCAATGGCTTTCAAGAGTTGTATCAGCCGAGTGTCATCGTGCTGAAAGGACTTACTCATCCCCAATGTTAACGTCACGTTTGTAAGACTTGTTCCAATAATTCTGCGTAGTACCATTGGTTTTTCGTTAGCTTTGTGAATGCGCTTGATATAGCGAGTGACCTCGTTCTCTACCAAACTTTCAAGGCGATCTCTGCGAAATGATTTCCTGAGAAAATTTAAGATGAATGTCCGATGTTCCTTCCACAAATGACCGGAACTTCCTCCAACACCTGCAACACAAAACAAATGGAGACAATATTGTATTGTCCATTGATTCATCTGTCATTTCGTCTACCAAATCACTCATATTATCCCCTTTTCATTTATAAAGCAGCTGCCCTAGTCAATGTAGGTTGTCCACTGGTCATCATCAAACCTCGAACAAGAAAAAGTCTGGTCACAAGTAAGGTCATGTCATGGTAAAACGAGAGGTGCTTGACTGGACCTCTGAACGGGTATCTTGTTTGCAATGCTAAGACATGCCACACTGGTGTTGATAAAAACGAAATTAAGATGGTCAGCGCGATAGATGTGACACACGTACGTAAGGGGGGGGGAGGTACGGTTGGACAAATAGAACTTGATAATTCAGAAAACAATGGCAGCCTACAAGTCAGCAAATGATGTTACGGGTTGACACAAAAGTGAAAAGCACTTTTTCATAATTTAGAATGAGATACAGTAAAGCCAAACACTGAATTATTTTTGTTTTGTTTAACTGCATCATACAGCTGTTTCGTCATTCTAGGACTCGTCAAAGATGCTAAGGACCAAAATTTTGAAGCCTAGGAGGCGACTAAGGAAATTCTAATGTGATCAAATGAAAAGTCAAAATCTGGCCTGGGGAGTGCAGCAGCCCTGTAGTTAGATTTCTGAGCCGTTTTGCTACCTAACATCCTATCAATAGCATTAGCTACAAATCGAGGAGTTGCCAAATGGTAATAAGGTAATAAAAAATTCAGATAAAAAGTCAGTGTGGCAGATTGAGGGATTTCAAACAAAGAAATGATTGCAGCGATTACTATGATAAACAACAACACTCAACTGAAATATTATACAGGAGTGACCAATTCAATATTTACTAGAGAGGAACGATGTTCGGAAGTATCAATTTACATTACGCCATATTGAAAAGAAATAATCCATATGGATGTAATTGTAAGCCAACCAAGATAGCCAAATCGGCTGGCTTGTTGGAACAAAGGAAAACTACGATAGATAATCCACTCAACTGTGCGCTATTAATACCTATTATACAATTAAAGTATGGAAAGGAGTGATATCGCAAGCTGCTGGTTTTCCGATATAGGTACAGTAAATGTGGTCAACGGAAACAAGAAATTTACTACATGGATATCCATCAAACCCATTATTTGACCTCTTTATTTGATAGGTGCAATCTGGAGAGATATCTTTAACTAGATACTATTTGTTTAACACATTCCATGATAGAAGTTGAGCCAAATGCAAATGGAAAGAGAAAGTGTCATGTGCAGAACGAACATGTGTTTAATAACAAGCTCCGCACACCTCTCGCCTGATCGTCTTGACGGAAAAAGCCAACTGGCGGCATTTTTTTTTCTACATAAGCGTTTTAGTTACAATATTTAAACTCAACTGGAAAATACGTTAAGACACAAGAGGGTATGTATTCAATAATCGATTGATTCAACAGGTTACTTTTGTGTACAGTAAATAGAGATATCATATAACCGTAAACACTAAACGCGGGAAGTTTGACTTGTCTACATGATACACAGAGACCCTGTCAGGTAAATTGTTATGGATACGACGAACATGACCTATCAAAGTGTAAGGTACTCCAAATGCTTACTTAAATCACAACCCTACTTCAATCAGATGTTCTACTGATGACAACGACGGCGTGGGCGTGGGCATGTGCTTCGAGGTGTGACGAACTTGACTATCAGATGTTTCAACAATGAATGGTGTCCCGGGACCTATTGAACGAAAATTGTCTGTCGGCTGATGTTTTTTTTACAGAAACATATCTCTATCGTCATATATTTCTAAGACAATGTGCTATTTCATAACACGGGATAAGATCCAAACATCCGACGGTTGAAGAAGTCTAGTGTTCACATAGTTTATGTGATATGATATGAGAAATAGTGACAAGAACAACTATTAGACCGAAACGTTTCAGAGCTACTGCGTGCGTCTATTCTGAAAAGTTATCTCGGTGCAGAAACTTTAATTCAACTTCTGTTTTTAGTTAATAATATCTAATATGTTTGTTGTACAAATGGAAACATATATATATATATATGAATGTTAATGTATGTGTCTTTGGGAATAAAATTGCAAACAATGCTTCTTAACTTTGTTATATTTAAAGGGAATACTTTTAATTTTCATTTAAGTAAGAAAACTTAAACCAATTATTTGTTTGGATGAAAATTATCTCGTAATGATAAAAACTAAGCTTTAAAAATCGTTCATTATGTTGTATGCTGACAAATGAAGTGGGAGTCCTCTAAATGTTTCAATTATTAATCTGCCGTTCATCATGACACTCCTATATTCCCTCTAGCACATGAAATCAACACCACGAGTAACTCTTCTTCATCAGCCGATTGCATTGTTCTTGCTTATGTGACCAACAGAAACAACGTTACCCTTACTGAAAACCTAATCATCCATCTTATTGCTTTTTCTATTTCCAAATAATCACAACCCCAGTGTGTGCTGTTAACGTGCTGTGATTGAATTTTGATAGTCTTAAGCTTGTTCCCGTTATCACCATTTCCGTGAACGATGTTCCTACGTTTCGAGAGAAGGTTAATGAATACTGTTAGAAAAATTTCAACTTTTCTTTTGCGATAAGTTAGATATGTCCGATGCTTGTCTGTGTGACTGTTTAATTGTAATTACCGCAATAGTTTTGACTGACTTTTGATTAATTTCATGGTTGTCATAAGAGTAGAAGGCACATTCCTTTAGGAAAAAATCATATAAGAATTGAAATAAATGTTATCTCCGTGTATTGACGTTATTGTGTTACTTGTATATTAGCAGTATATCATAGTTGTTGATCAGATATCAGTATTAAATGTCGAAGTGTCATTATCTTCCTTGTTTGTTATCACTGTATTAAACTGTCATCGACAGCAAGTGAGACCTGGCGTGGAGGGCGAAAACTGTGATGTACGTGCAATTCATACTTTACGTGGGCGTGAAAGAATCAATATTATATACGATCATTTTTTGGCATATGATAATCACAACAAGTTAGACTATACGTCTAACTAATGAATAGGTATCTGTAATCATTTTCAATCCAACCAGACCAAAGATTCACTTGAATTGACTTGACCGAAGGGGGCCTAAGTATATGGAAATAGCTATTTATTTGCAAGACAAACAACACATAAAAAACTTTGCCCAAGTTTCACTTTAATTGACTAGATGGAAGCAAAATAGAAATATATGGAAATAGTTATTCATTCGCAAAACAGAGAGACAACAAATAAAAAAAATTAGTCCAAACACCACAGTTGAACGCCCTCTATATTAAAACCCGAGTATAAAGAGAATATCTGTGGACTGATTATTACCACTAACACTGTTAGTATTTATTATTCATCACTTTATTTATTCATTATCTGACTAATGTGCGTATTTGGTTTATAATGGCAAGGCTTTCATACGATATACATGTTGCCCAATTCCTTTCTATCCTTAAAATCATGACAATAAAATTTTGAAATGAAAAAAGAAACAACTTCAGAACACATTAAGGCTCTCCACACCTTGTATACAAACCCGGAGTTACATACACACTGGAACAGTAATCTCTCTTTTACTTTATTTCTAAACAGGCTCGAAATGGAACTTGCTGAGATAATTCTCGCCTTAAGGTTAATCTCATTGTGGTTCTTATACTATTACAAGATATGGTTTTGCTTCCTAGTACACATTGCTTACTCTACAAAGCATAAACGGATTTGAATTCGAATACTAAGAATTAAAGGCGATATACCATAGAAAAGCAGTTCATTTAACATACATCATGAAGAATGCATCGATGACAATACTTCACGGAAAACTACCTATAGACGGGGACACATTAAAAATTGATAAACAAATTGTTTATAACCCTGAACAAGGGAATTCCGCGTGATGGCAGAATGACATTTCAGGACTGTTCGGAAATTTTTCATACTTACAACAAGGCGATTCCATGTTTTGGCGGAGTTGAATTTTACTTTTAAACTTAAAGTGTTTATATTTTTTCAGAATTTCACACAGAAGTTACACGTTGTCGAATACTCAAATAACGACCCATACTAATTCGTAAAACTAAAGCAAGTTTTGGTCTAATTTTTACCGAAATAATGACATCCATATATTAATATATTAAATAATATTGAACAGTGAATTATCTTAAATAATATGAAATAAACATGTGAATAACCAATCAGACGTTGCCTGTAAATGTTTGGTATTATTAAGTGATTTTACATTCAACAAACCACCAATCGAATATGTACATGAAAAACACAATTTGGAAATAGATCTTAGATATCGTTTGCACGTTAAACGTTCATAATGCCATTTAAACAGGAATATTTTCCAATCATTTTATCTGCTTATATACTTCCTTTGTCAACATGCAACATAATGAAACAATTTCGAAATCAAAAAATCAAATAAGATGTAATATGCTACTAACATTGTATCATTTCCTATTTGGCAATATTGCGTAATGCACCTATTGTAGTCGTAATACGACATTGAGCTATCAGCATAATTGCATAATATGTATATCTATGTTACCCAACAAATGAGATACTGTTAACGTATAAAAAAGCCTTGCAATAATAAATGAATATACATGTTGCAGTAGTCAATATGTATTGTAA